GTACAAGAGACCCAACAGGTCACAACCTGAAAATGTTAGTCATATGAAACTAGTCATAAGAGGTTGCACACCTTTTTAACATGTTTAATCAGTTTCCAACCTAATCACGGGTGATTCATATTTATTTAGACACGCTCTATAAAAAATGAAAAACTTCAAAAAAATGTTCATTGGAAACTTATAACTTGTAACGAAGCTTGTTGATATAACTTTGATTATAACCACTTCTATCTAACGCTATGAATCAACTTATTAAACATTTTTTATTTATTCGGATTATACTTCAATTCCAATTTATACTTACAGAAGTTTAAACAATTTTATTTACAAATTTTGTATTTATGCACAATTTTTCCATAAGGGAAGTGTTTGTTCAAAAAATTCCAATTTTACATTTTTTGGTGGTATGAGAGTATATTTTTTCAATTTAAGAAAATGGGAATTGAATATCAACAAGTAAATATATAAAAAGGGAATCCTTTAACATTTTTTTCTTCCTACATTTTGTTGACTTTTATGATACTGATAACATATGATCAACTTGAAGTGACAGTCATCGTTGTTGTACACCTTATTAATTCCATAAAAAAAAACAATTAAAGCTACCAAAAATGGTATAGCCTAATACTTTATTTTTCATGATTGTGACTACAATGAAAAAAATAAAACACATCAATGTAGTAAAATTTGTTTACAAAGTAAGAGGAAGTTATAACTAATTTATACTTCAATTTACAATTAACATCTAGAATAATTTGGAATCAGGAGTTAAAAACAGTATTTCAACATTTTTTATATCCACTTGTTAGAGAACAATATTTTGGGTAAGCAATGTTCTTTTTCACACTTTCATACATTTCCGTTGATCGTCTGGAATTTTAAAAGTAGAATCGAAGAAAGATTCAATGAATATTCCGTTATAAGATCTTTTTGACGGTTTTATTAATGTGATTTGTGTTATATTTGGGAAGGACGTAAAGTTATAACTTAACACTGTCTTTATTTATAGATTTGTTGTTTCAGAATTTTTGTTGTTGTCTGTATTGTTATTAATTTCAAGCATACATGTTCATTCTTCAATTAATGCTTAATAGCATAATAACAATGCTTAGAAATAAAATCATTTAAATTATGAAAGAATTAATATTTAAGGATTGAAGAAACTATACAAATAATTGAACAAAATACGTTTAAATATATTTAATTTTTTTTTTCTTAATGGAGAGTTGAAATAAATACTAAGAATGATGAACATTATAAGAATATATTTTGAAAATTAAATTTACAGAATAGTTTTTATCAGTAATAAATTTACATTGTATCAATTTAAATGTAGTGAACATTTTCCTTACACATTAGAAAAAAGAATATAGCTTAGCAAAATGTTTCATTTAAATAACGGGTTTCAAAATTAAATTGTCAAATAATAGAAAAATATAAACTTTTAAATTGTTTGTTAGAGTTCCATGATAAACAAGAAATTTACAGTTGGGTTACTAACCAAACCATCCCTCGCTTGATATTTGGGAAACTGAAGTAAAAACTAACAACATCCCATAGAGTACAATAACATATGAATCTTACTATACACAATCATACTGTATATCTTTGGTATACATTTTTCATCAGCTTACTAACAACACCAGTAAAATAAAGGGGAACAATAACTTAAGAACAAAAGATGTTTAAAGACTAGGCCCACATTTACAAAAGATAATAATACTTTGATTATAGCTAAACACTATTCACATTTTTAAAATATATGGCTAATTGTTATCAAAACATTTCACAAAACAAAAAATATTCCTACAGGTAGCTACAATGGTTTTAAAATTCAAAATAAGATATATATCAAAACTTGACTCTTAGAATTATTCAAGTTTTGTAGAGTAAAATTATCAAGTTAAATTTTAAAACTGACCTAAGATCTCCCATGATTTGACCTCAAGGGAGCCCAAAAGAGAAGAGACTAACTACCTGTGGAGGTGTTATCACCCAGCTCATCCTAATCTCTTATCTCCCTCTCCCCCCATGTACAGCATCAAGCACCACACTCAAGGTGCCAAACTCCCGATTAATCTGTATGAATAATCACCAGTTTTGGCTGACCTATTTGTAACTGGTATTCATTGAGGAAAAATTTTAAAATCTCAGCAAAAGTATTCAAGCATATTCTATAAATGTTGCACACACATTTTCAATTTTTTGTTATATTGTAATTAAATAAAAATTTGGTCCACGGTCAAATATAATTAAGGAAAAAATACTATAGAGTAGAATTTAATTTTACAAATTTTGTATTACTTGGTAAAATCCTAAATAAAATTATTTTTGACAAAAGTGAGGCGTAGGTCAACCATTTGCAACATTCTATAAAATATAGATATAAAAATATATTTTTTAGTTTCCATCAAAATAAAATAATATCGCTATCTGTATACTATAGATACATACTATAGGCCGTATGGGAAGGGTTAATATTTCCTTTTATTATCTTGTGGATTATCCCCAGTATGATGGAAAAAGTACATTTTAAAGTATAGAGTACTTATTAGCAAAGCTTGTTGCATTATCAGCAATGGTTTAAAATTAAATTGCCATCCCTAGATTTGTTGAGTAGCCAAAGATCCTATACTCCAGAAGAATATTAATTGATGTTGTATTGTTATAGATACTGTTCTTTTATTAAGTTTTAGTAATAGTTTTGACCCCATTTTACATGGATTTACCTGCATTACAATAAACAAATTTTTGGATTTCATTTAATTGATCAGACAATTTTACAATTTCCAGCCTATTTATATGAGATGACTCATCAAAGCAAGACCAATATAGGCTACTTTTTCATCAATATTTGGTTACTAATCAACTTGCTAAATGTTTTGAAATATAGGTTGAGGTTGTCACACCTTTAGTATTTAATCATATTTACTTCCTGTATCAAATCATGACCAAGCCTAACACTGAATCATGCTGCAAACTGTTGAAATTTTAAGTGAATTGATTAAATAACATGTAAGTTCTCAGCTTTTTACCATTTGTGATTGGAGATCGAAAACCAGACTATATAAAAAAAGTCATTACACCAGTGACTATCCTTGGACAAACCTACCTAAAACTAAAAATGGTTATCCTTCATAGTTATGTACTTATAAACATAGTGTAGAGCACTCGAACAATATTGGAGATTTAAGTTATGATTTTAATAAAATTTCTACTAAAACAAAACATAAGAAGATTATTGAATAGATTGTCTATTAAAATAGTCAGGTTCTTGAGATTTAAAAGTGCTGACCCAAATAAAATGTTTTCAATTTTTACAGGCAGTTTAAAATACACCTTCAGCTAATAAAAATAGAGAAAAAATGTCTGACAAACAGGAATTGTTACAATATTTCTATGTCAGAATGATCAATTTATCTAAACCAATAGATAAGTTATAACTTTCTAAGATGGAGAGCTCTGTTTTTCAAGATATAATAATCTCTGCACTTACGAAGACTTATACATTGAATCTTGTGATAAGATGTTGCAATAGCTCTCAAGGAAAGTCTGTACTTCAGGTATATTCTTGGTAAATTATGTAAATTGAGTCACTGCACTAAGTCACAACTTGAAACATATTTTGACTAAATATGGTTACCCATACACTAGAGTGGTTGGTTAATCTACATCGTCAAACAGTCATCAGGTCAAACATATGATTTAGACGATGTCTTCCATACCACCACTATGGATAACAACTATGTAGCCACAGTTAAAATCCTGGCTCCGTTGAGCAGCTTATTAGGAGTTCAAATTGATGGTACTGGCAGGCTCCGACGATGACAGAGCGGTTAAATTTTTTAAAAACTGTACACCTGATCAGCATTTGAGGATCCGACACTCCTCTCTTTGAAAATTTATAAAATTTTACTAGCAGTTGATCAATTGGTCACCTTAACTACTGCACACGGTCATTAATTAGATTTGAGTTGAGTTAATTTTTATTTAACGCTAGATCAAACATTTGAGAAAGAAGGTTAGAAAATCCTAAATTATAAAACAGAGTATAATTTAGGTAAAAGCAAGAGGCAAAATAAATTACAAAAATTTTATTTGTTGGCTTTCTTTTACAGTCCAAAGTGTTCATATACAGAAACATATGCTTTACAAGAACATTGCTATAGGCCATAAATTATCACTATTGCCACCAATGACATTTTGTATTGTCATGCATGATACAAGTACAGGTTTAATATAACATATTACACTGAGATTTGACTTTTTTAATAATTTGAAATTACATGTTGAGGTAAATTTTAATAGGATCCTATCATCTAATTACTATAAATTTATGTAAAATACTTCCATCTATGTTTTTTTTTTATTAGTTTGTAACAATTACATACAACTGTACACTTATAAAACTTGTTAGGGATGATACTATTTGCGCCTGACGCAAAACGTCCTTAACACATATGGCACACCTGGTTCTCCCAGAAATATCAGCTTTCCTACAATTTGCAGGCTAACTTATCAGTTCAATAATTCAAATCTGTGTTTTTAATGCAAATGATTTGAGAAGTTTCAAGTGTTGTCTCAGTAAAGAGTTACTTGAGGATAAATATGAACTGCTCAGTTTATGAAACCCTATCTGAAAGGGTACAAGAGATCTGGGGCGCACCCAACAACACATTTCAGATACATTCCTGGGGTTGAAAATATTGGAACATAAACAAATTGGAAAAAATACTTTTAGTAAGAAAATACTTTATACACATTTGTATAAGACTTATATTATCTAAATGTTGTTTTATTGTGGTATATTTCACGTCCACACAAGGTGTAGCAAGTTTCTTTATGTTGGTTGAATAACTGGATGATACTTTGTTTTCAGTTTATTTTCTTTTTTTGTAGAATAGTTAGGTTATTTTTAGGTTTTTTACAACACGTCCATTTTTGTAAGTAGTGTATGAGAAAAAGTTGACAATTATCGATCAAAAGTGGTTTAGTAAGCCCTGAACTATCCGTTCTAAACTTAATATTGTTTTATAAAACAAAGATAAAATTGTATTAAGCTGATATTTATTCAGAGGTATGAATTTGCATCTACTTTGAATTTCATGAGAATAGTTTTTACATAAATCCACTAGGGAAGAAAGGTAGTTAAATTGAGACTAAAAATAGTAAGATCGAGATGGCTAAAGTAAATTATCGGCAAGCTAGTTTCATTTCTAATTAATTATTTAATTACCATACAAAAACTATAGAGTACCACTGACATATATAAAAATTCAGTAATTGGCAAGAAATGTTTATTGTATACTTTATGTGAAGCAGCCATGTTAAAAAGCTAAGACATACACAATTTCTGACTAGTTAATAAATATCATCACAGAGGCAATGTTAAGTACTATTTTATAATTTTATTCATTGAAATTTGGAAAATTCCAATACGGCAGATCTTTACCACCAAACTGTATAAATTTTAAAACTGAACAAAGAAAAAAATGTAAAATGTATAGGCTAACAATTTGTTATGTTTATGTTGATGATAGTTTATGTTGAAATGTTATTCCTGTAGTTACCTATTCAGAAAATAAATTATTTATGACTTGTTCAGAAGCATGTAACCCTGCTTCCATTGAAGCTTTTACATCCTATACAGTAGAACCCCAATAATCCAACCTCGGTTTGTCCGACTCCTAATTTAATCCGACAATACCATCTGCGATCCCAGAAAACTCCTAAATATCTCCTGCAGTAAAGGAAATATCATAATTGTTTCCTGCGATCAGGAAAATTATAATTTTTATCTGTAATCACGGCATACTCTTGAATATTTCCTGCGGTAAAAGGAAAATTATCGTCGTCTCCCGTGTTCAGGCAAACTTTTCCCCCAATCACGGAAACATCATCAGCTCCCACGATTGTATCAAAATATCGTACGCCTCCTGTGGTCATGGAACCATTATCATCGTCTTTTGCGATCACAAGCGATCATTAAATGTCAGTTTATCAATTAATGTGGTAATTTAATATGCTCTTCGGATAATTAGACTTTTTTCACTGTTCCAACAATGGTACCAGTCCCATATGGGAATTACCGGGGTTATACAGTACTAAATTAAGGCTAGATGTGGACCAATAGGATAAAGGTTCTTACTGTAAGAAAAGTTTTGAGAAAGAATTAAACTTCTTTTTCTTTTTGGGGTCATGTCACTCAAGTTTGTCCCTTAAGGTGGATAGGTTTGGATTCTTTGCTATAACTGTTACATATGAATTATTTGTAAATTAAACCAGTATTTTACTTGAAAATTAAATCATTTGTAGTAATGATAAGTGGAAATTATTTTAGTCAATAGCTAAAAAAATACAACAGGCTACTGAGTAATGGAGAAAAGAACATGAAACCTCTAAACTTTGTTCATGTATTTAGTATAAAACATGGAAGACAACGAGTGTATGAATGGAAACATTGTCTAAAATAGCTATCTATATAACATTTCAATTTATTATATTTATAGAGTAAATGTTAAGTAAAAAAAGATTGTTCCGGGTAGACCTTCAAGGTTCTTCTCAATTCTAAAAAATGTATACCACCACATATTTTAAACAGTAAAAAAAAAATCACCGGTTTCACATTTAATATTCAGTTTTACCAAATTTTTTTACAACGAAATCATGAAGTATCTAGTAAATAACATCATCACAACACTGGTTACTAAGTATAAATAGGCTAAGAACTGGACAATAGGCTGTACAACTTTGTGCAAATTAATTTAATCACACTCAAATTATATCACTAATCCTTAAATGAGTTTTTGACACTTAAATTTATTGCTATTAAATATTTAAAACGAACATAAAGCTATTTTTGATTTTAAATAATAAATAATCTAAAATTAAATAACACGTTAAGACTAGATTCGAATTTGAACGAGATCTCTTGGTCAAGTGGAAAGGTGATGTTTTTAGCATTGAATCAGTGTCCTTACTTGAAAATATTAATAAATTACACATTACTCATAAATGTTCAAAATGTATAATCTTAAAAATTTGTAATAAAACAAACAGAAGTTCCTTGATTACTCACCTATACTGTATAC